TCGGTGCCAGGAAGAGCTGCGGAGCGAGCTGGGAAGGTACAAAGCGGACTCGGAGTTGGAGAAGGGCATGGAGCGCTTCCGGGAGGAGAGGGGAGATGGGAGACGGAGGTATTCCTTCACGAGATGCCTGCTTTGACCCCCTGAACCCTCCCAAAGCCAGCCCCAACCACACCAAACTAGCTCTAAACTAACCTGAAGCACACCTTTTGTTTCAAGTTCAGCCTAAACCAAAGCTTTTGGTGATGCCGTGGGTGTTGAACAGAGGTGCATTTTGTTAGTAACTCCTGTAAAACACGAAGGTAGGAAAAAAACAACATCCGCCGCCACTGGAAGTTCATACAAGTCCAAGGTTGCACGCACCCATAGCATTTGTTGCGCAGGAGGCGCTTTCGGCCTCAGCTGCCATTAGCGCTTTGGAGGCTCAGGGCGGCTGCCTGCGCGTTGACCTGCGTGAGGCCAAGGAGGAGTCCGAATTCAGCTACCATCGCGCCCGGTGTTGCAAGCGGTTGCCACAAGTCAGCACAATTCACAGGCTTTCCGATTTCCGGAGTTCCAGCGGTTTGAACTTTCGTGAGCGCCAGTCCAACGTTTTGTCAATTCCGTGCCGGTCACAGAGTAGCCAAATTGGACTTGTAGCACTGCCCCCGATGAGCTTGTGCTGCTTAGGATCGGCCAGGACAGGAGTTTAATCGAAAAGCTGTGAAATAGCATGACATTCTGGCCACAGGCTGCACCAGTCAGGGGGGCCTAACTTGACTGCGGCAGGGTGGAGTTTTGGTGTGGATGCAATTGGATTGCACCTTGCAGGAACAGTAAAAGCACACGTTGCCATGGGCCGACTTCAACAGCACTGATTTGTCTCCAGACCGGACTCGCCCGGACTGCGCGTTCCTGGACCCTGGCACTCCAGGAGCAGGACCACCTGCGACGGTCGGAGGAGCTGGCACAGGCTGAGCTCCGGTCTGCGCAGGAGGCACGCGGAGTTTGGCGAAATGAGCCAGCTTTGCCTGGGCGCGTTTTTGTGAACAACCGAGTGTCTTTTTTTTGGGGGGGGTGGGGGGCGGTTTTAGGTAGGCTTCGTGGTGCTTTTCAATAGTTGTACGAGAGGGCCGGGCGAGTGACTGCCGGTTTTGTCAGAGTGTCCTGGACCAAGAGTGCAAGTTCACGTGCAATTCGACAAGGGGGTCGCCCCCAAAAAACAAATTCCTTTGAAACTGGTTGATCGTCGAGTGCCATGTCAATTTGGAGGGTGCCATCCACCCCCGAAACTTGGAAGAAGATTAATCGCCGCCGATTTGGACTCCCAACGTGCAAAGGTGGGCTCGGAGCTGCAGCAGCAGCTGGGCCAAGCACGCGGTGAGGCGGAGGAGTTGGCTCAGGCGCGCGAAAAAAAAGAGAAGGGATTTTGGTTTATCCTCCCACCAAGTAACATGGAAGTGCAAAAAGACCCTTTCCAAGAGAGGAAAGCAGTCGTTCCACAGGGGTCCGTGCACTTCCATGTTAGCTGGTGGGAGGGTAGTTGAGATTACTTTGCCTGTTGACCTTTGGTTCCTCACAAAGAACAACACTCCATGGCTCAGGAGGCTCAATGGATAGAAATGGGCATGTCAGAGGATATGGACATGGAGACCAGGCGCCGTTGGCTTTCATAGGCAACACCTCAAAGGCGAAGGAAAAGATGAGGAAAAGATGAAGATTTGGCAACCCCCCCCCTCTCCAAGCTGTAGAGGGGGTCTCTCATGTTGACACATCACGCGTCCGAATGCGCCAAACTATTTCAGGAGATTAGGATTCGCTCACCCAATTGGGCGCTTCGTTAGGGGATCGCATGAGTTTGAGAGACTCCGTCAAGGCAGTTTTCTACTTACATGACACTATCCGAAGCGGCCCCCTATGTTCTTTGACCCCACTGGTAGTGATTTGGTCTAGTCAACAAGCATGAGCACTGCTGCAGAGAAAAACAGCAGTGGCCAGCGTGCAGCCGCAAAGCCAAACTCAGCGCCTGAGGGATTCATGGCCTTTGTGTGAGCCTGGGACTATGCACCGATTGACACGCTCCAGCTGTAGGAGAGGAGGGAGCTGCAGGCAGCCTATCAGAGTGCTGCAGAAGCGAAGGAGGATTCTCGGCTTGCGCCAAGCAAACCAGCAGTAAGGACCATAGAGGACTTTTGATCCGATGCGTTTCTTCAGTGCTGTCTTGATACCGTTGTCTATGTCAGTGCTTACCTATACTTTTCCATTGAGCCGATGGGCAAGAGAGAGAGAGAGAGAGAGAGAGAGAGAGAGAGAGAGAGAGAGAGAGAGAGAGAGAGAGAGAGAGAGGGAAGAGAGCAGAGAGGAGAGAGAGAGAGAGAGAGAGAAACGGGCAAACAAATCATGTGATGCTGCAGTGCGCTGGGTTTCTTTTGCTTAGCCCTCAGCACGCTGCGACTGCGATTTGGTCATCGTTTCCATCCAGATACTACACCCACCACAAATTGAACCGCGGGGTGGGTGACCGTGGAATTCCATTTGTACTTTTGGGCAAGACGAGCAAGACATTGCCTTTGATCGGCGCCGAGGCCCTTCAGGCAGAGGCAGCGCAGCTGGCGGCGTCTGTGGGCTGCTGGGAGGACAAGGCGCAATGCGCGGAGCTGCGCGCAGCTGAGCTTCAGCAGCTGGCGGACGAGCAGCGCACAGAGGAGCTAAATAGAGTGGTGGGGATTTGGGGTTTGGGGGTTTGGGGGTTTGGGGGTTTGGGGGTTTGGGGGTTTGGGGGTTTGGGGGTTTGGGGGTTTGGGGGTTTGGGGGTTTGGGGGTTTGGGGGTTTGGGGGTTGGGGGGTTGGGGGGTTGGGGGGTTGGGGGGTTGGGGGGTTTGGAGGTTGGGGGGTTTGGAGGTTGGGAGGTTTGGGAGGTTTGGAGGTTGGGGTGTGTGTGCTTGCGAGAGGCAGGAAGACAATCATGAAGTGAGTACGGTGCTGATATTCAGGCTGGATAGAAAGGATGTCAGCAAATGCACCAAACTATGAGCACACCATGCTCAAAATTCAATTTCACTGTTCGCCACACGGTATAAACATTGCTTGCATGAGCTGCGCAGGATGACGCTCGCTCCACACAAAACAAACATTGGGATTTACGAAGCATGCCCAACACAAAATGACAGGTCGTCCACGTCAATCTACACTCGCGATCAGCCAGTACATGCACTCATCGTTCATTCTGGGGCAGTGCAACAGAGCAAACAAACAAACAACCCCCACCCCACCCCGTTTCCGTGCCAGGAGTTGCGGCTGGCGGCGGAGAGCCGGCGTTCAGCGCAAGAGGCGGAGACTCTCCAGCGGCAGGTGACCAAAGAGCGGGAGGAGAATCAGGAGCCCACGTATTCAGCTGAATCCACACTGAGCAACTTATACCCCAGAGCTTCACTGAACTGATTCTGATGATGGCAGACAAGGAGGTTTGGGGCTCAAGGTCGATGAAGCGAAGACCGCAGTGAAAGACGGATGCCATTTGCTGATTCTCAGGTGGGGCTGGGGGAATACTCTTACCAACCATCCTTCGTTGGGGCATGTTGTGTCACGTTGTTACTTCAAAGAAGCTCGTCCCATTTTTGACATTTGAAAACTCATGCAAAGGCTATGCAGTAAACAACGTAGCAAGAAGCGCGCAGGAAAATCAGGGTTGTTTTCTCCAAAGCTCCGATGTGAGCTCATGCCGTCCGCCAGGAGTGGCGAGTCACTTGGCAAGGGTTTGGTGATGGGCTACAGAGAGGGGGCGGGTACACCAGTCTGTTTCCATGATGATACTTCAATGGTTTCACAAGGGAATATTGAAGTCGAGCTCAATGCGCGATGTTGGCGTTGTGACCATGGCTGGTAGCGATCCACGCGGGCCTTGAGGCCTTTATCCTGGAAGAGCAGGATAGAAACAGGTCGCTACAAGAACAACTGGCTGATGCGGAGCAGCTGAAGTTTGAGGACATGGGCAGGGCGCGGGGGGCAGAGTCAAACTATGTCAAACTCGTAGACCTTTGCCGCTGCCATGCTTGCCAGGGCACCCAAGACAAAAGCTGTTGAGAGCAAATTGATGAAATTGCAACAGTTCAAGTGAGCTCAGCTGATGGTTTGCTTGACAGTAGGCGGGCATCAGCCAGAAAATGCCACTCTAGCATGCCGCTGTGTCCGCAGTGTTGCTGCTGTAGTTTTACATGCGCTGTAGATTCAATGATTCTAGTGCGTTGCGCTTGACTTGAATTGTGCATTGCTTCAGAAAAGTTGAAAGTTGGGGGCCTTGCCCTCTTCAACTTTGATTCACAAGGATACGGAGTAATTACGTTGACCTGTAGCTTCGGCATTTACACGGCAATCATGCGGCAAGCTACATTGACCACGTCCTGGGGAAGCACTGTAAGCAGGGATATCTTTGGGGGGATGTCTCAGCCAAGATCTGGCAAAATGACGGTGGCACCGTGGAACCTCCTTGCCGGTGCCTCTGGTACACATGTTTGCCTCAAGAAGGAAGTGAATTCCAGCGGCGCTAGAGCTAAGCCGAGCTCCATGTGTCTGCATTTGTTGGTGGTGTGGATATGGGTCAAAAAAAAAAAAAAACGCTAGGGAATCGCAGGTTTTTGTCCATGTTTCCATTTACCGGGGTTTCATTTTGGGCACCTATTTTTGACCCACACCCATGTCTCGTTAGATCCCGTTCAGATGGTGACTGCCGCTGGGCCAGGCGCAGCAGGCGGAGGCTCAGCACCGGCACCTCTGTGAGCGTCAGCGCCGGGCCTTGGCGGACGCGGGCTTGGAGGAGAAAAGGGTCTCCACGGCTCCGGTGCCAGCGCCAGGGGGAACACCATACCAAGCAATCCGACCCAAGGCTTTGGTTTTCCCACTTGGGGTCATGTTGTGTCAAGGTGTCCAGAGAGCCTTTGATGTATTGATGTCCAAGTTGTTTGAGCAAGTGAGTTGGCGATTCACCACTGATCCAAAGTACAGCGAAAAGGATTGCATTGGCCGAGGATCAACCTTTGCAGGCCTCGGAGTATGCCTGACTTGGACGTCAGGCCAGGGAGACTGGCAAGTGGAACTGGGCAGTTGGGCTTAGCATTTCTGAGCCAGCACTTTGCTTCTGCCCGAAGAATGGGCAATGCTTTGAATTCACATTGTTGGAAGGTGCCCCTTTGGTTAACCCCATTCCTGTCCTTTCTCCTGTCCTTTGTCGGCCGTCGCCTCATTTGTTGATGCGATCCATTTTTGCCAACACGTTGAAAGAAGGTTTTGGTTTGAGAAGGAGAGCCCCGAGAATCGGGTCCAGACATGGCTGTGTCAGCTCCACATGATCAGATTCCGCAGCCAGCACGGAGTTGGGTGGCCCACGGCCGGACTGAGATTTCTGAACAAGGCTTGTGGATGCAGCTTGCTTGCATGTGGTTTGCACGTTCGTGTTGTTTTCTTACTTCAAGTGTTTACCTTGGCAGGGATGGTGGCAATCCTGTATGAGTTTGCATCAGCGCGTGCTGCGCTAGCAAAAGGAAACTTAAACGCCTTCAAAGTTTATCGAAGATGGTGCCCACTACCCCCCAAACCACTACATGGTATAGACCTTGATTTCCCTTGCGGGCAGTGGCTTAATCCATGTCAGAGTTTATTGCTCTGGGACATAAGCATGTCAAATGAGCATACATATTCACGTGAACAAAGGGATATCATCACACTGCCTGCCCAGTTTTGGAAAACTGGTTGGCATCAGGTAGGCCACTGCCAAGGACAGTGTTTGCCAAACTGGCTGAAACCACCTACCCACATCCCGTTTCCTTTGATGGTCTCTGGCCACTCAAACGGCCCGTCAGCGCCAGGCTCTCAGAGGAGGATGAGGAAGAGGGGCAGGAGCGACAGTCGCACGGGGAATTGCCCTGTCCAGGCATCACGCCCCCACGCCCCTTGTGTACCAACACTGGCTGAATTGAGGCTTCCATTACGGTCCTCGCAGGCGTGAAAAGTAGACCAAACACCAGCTGACATGTGACTCAGGGCCCGGTGCGTTTGGGTAGGGACCCTGGCCCAATCTTTGTGGCATGTCCCCCCCACAAATTTGGATCTTCGCCTGCTGCACCTGGCACCTACCCACCTTTGGCAGGAGAGTGAGCAGCCAAGCGGCTTCTTCCGTCCAACTGGCATGGGCTTTTGCAATTGAGCTTGTTTCGGTTCGTTTTTGGGCTGGCATGTGCAAAAATGCCCGAATGCTGGTCGCAGTAGTTGTAAGTTGCAATATTTGCAGCAGTTGCAGTAGTTTCAACTAGGTGATCACGCGGTCGCCAAACGCATGATGCCAGAAAGCACTACCGTAAATGACGGATTGCACACGTCATGATTGAAGCTTATGCCAACAGCGCAATCAACAGTTGTCAGGTTCTTTGAGAACAACGCTCTCAGCACCTGGGACCGTTCCTGCCGTGCGCCTAAGACAGATGCCACACAAGAGGAAAGGAAACGACAGGGTCAGGAGGTTTCCTTTGGGACCTCCCGTGTCTCCCCTTTGCTTCGGATTGTAAGAAGATAACGATGCTCGTTTTACAGGTCCCAAAACACATACTAAGGACCAGAAGTCCCAGGATAAAAAAGGTGAACAGTGCAGGAATGACCCACAGGGCGAACATGGATCTTTCCTAGGTCCGCAAGGCATAATTGGGGATGCGAAAAGGCCAAGAGCAAGCTCGCACGGGTCCACGTGCCCATGGCACGCGCCCATGGCGTGCGTTGGGTTGAGGCTCAGCATCAACACCCAGATGAAAAGACAGAGGCACTGATCGCAAAGCAAGACCTGGATGAGAGCGTCAAGGCCAGTCCGGTTGACTCAGATCAGCTGTCTAGTCCAGCATTTCGTGCTTTGGGCTGGCAGAGTCTGTTGAGCTGGTCAAACGCATCGATCGTCCTCCCAATAACATGACACCTGACATGCAAGGCCCCTTCAAGAGGACATGGACCTTCCAGGTAACGCTCCCGCAGGTGCTATTTTAGTGGGAGGAAGTGCATTGAGCCATCAGGACAGGTTGAGGAGCATCACAGCTTGGGATGCGCGGCCCTCAGGGCCTCGAAATGACATAGGCACCGGATGAGGAGCTCGTGAGATCCAGACTTACTTGTCCAGTTTCACAAACAACCGCATTGGTGCCATCTCAAAGTTGCAGGAGATCCAAGTCTGGCTTGCTGGAGAAATGGTCAAGCGTCGGTTGCCAAACCGTCATGAGTCGTGTATGCTTTCACCAAACATGCATGGTTTGTTTTGCAGCTGCGGGACGTGTGGTGCATTTGTTAGGCTCCAGGCTGGGTGTAGGCTGGTTATGGCCCTGAGCAATGCCCAAGCAAAGCTTCAAAACCCACCTGCGCAGCGATGCCAGCATGACCAGAAGAGTTGGACACGCATGGAACCTGGAAACGGAAGGGGGGGGGTCCTACAAACAGATAGTCCACACAAATTCGCGGTTTGGATCTCGTTTCGGTTCAATCACCCCCGCATGAGCTTCTGCACGAAGGCCACCCAGCTCATCAACAAAGTCCAGGGCCCGCCCGTGGTCGGGAAGAAATTGGGATGGGCATGTCCAGTTTGACGTACCTTATGTTAGTGTGAATCATTCTTGGCAGCAAGATTCCGTGTCCCAAACATATTGGCAATCGGTTTGGCTTCAGCGTTTGGAAGTGTAAGTTTGATTGGCAACTTGCCACGGCTAAAAGGATTGTTGGCTTTCTTGGCTTCAAGCACCCCTGGGCCCCGCTAGTCACGGAACTCCTAGCACATAGTCTTTCGAAAAGGTCTTGTCGGCTTGAATGACTGTCAGGGTGTTGGGGGAAGTACGCAGTGATGACTTTGGTGGCTTCGATGGTCCACCGGCCAGGGAATGCTTCAGTCAAGAACCCTTCCGGCTGGGTGATGTCAGCGGGAGCCTCGGCTGGCGTGTTTGTCGCCTTCGCACCTTGCAAGTGCAAGGCCACATCGCCAAACAGGCTTGCAAGCATTGAGATGTTTCAGGCTGACCCACGGTGACATATTTCAAGGCCAGGCAACATAGCAGACGAGAAGGGGCTAGAGATGCATTTGCAACAGGCAAATTGTCTCATGTGCCAAAATGAGGTGCAGCAAATCCAATGAACCCGGCAAATTGTCAAATCACCAACAAAGTGCAGTGCAAGGAGTGGTCATCTGCACAGTTTGGGGTTTCGGGAGTTAATCACATTTCGGGATTACATCACATTTTCGGGATTCGGGACTGGGAAGGTTTGGGGCCTTGGCTCCGGCTTTTGGGATTCGTCACTAGGAAGGCCCCAGCCTTTGGTCCGGCTGCAAGAGTGCTTCAAACAGTAGTGCTCGCTGAATTCAAAGACAGAGGAGAGAGGGGCGCAGGCTTTAGGCAACACGCTCAGAATGTGGTAGCAGTGACCCTTAAGAGCTGTGCTCGCCTTTCAAGAAGTGCCATGTTGGACGTGAGGCGATCAGCAAGATGAAGGAGATTCGCGATGTGTATACCGCGCGCTGTCGCTGCAGAGCAGCCATTTGAATTTGTCGGGCTAGCGGGGCTTGGGTTGTTGGTGGTCGTTGTTGTTCGCAGCAAGGGGTTCTTGAGAAGGGCATGCAACAGCAGTGCGTAGGCCCTTGGGCGAGGCCGTCTCCATTTTGATGGCTTTCCGAGTGCCAGCTTATTTTCAGTCGGCATGATGACAATAGCATAGACTTTGACATGTTTGATCATCGCATGAGAGTGGTGTGGCGCAGGCCAGCAGGTTTCCAATCTCCGGTTGCTAAGAAGGGGTGATCGGCATGTCCCTTTAAGATAGGCAACACCGGTCGGTCGATATCACTCCTCCTTTTGCTTTGGAGGAGAACGACGAGCTCATTTCTTCGCAGATGAGTAGCTTGCTGCTGGGCCTGGAAGATATTGCCGCTTTCTCAGTTGAAAAGCAACGCAGCAGCGCTCAGAGTCCCGAGGGCTTGCCCACCGGTAGGGCAAGCTTGCAGCTCCGTTGCTTGTATATGTAGTGACCCATGGGTATAGGTTAAACGTGTATATATGTAAATAGACACATAATATGTTCTCATTTGCGTGCGTGTATTTATGTATATTTACAACCTCCCCCCCCCCTTTTAAAACCGCGCCTGCTGCGCGTGTAAGGAAAGTCAAGTCATTTTATATTGATGTTACCAGAAGCGGGGCTTATTTTACAATGTTGGCAGACTTGCGCAGATGATTCATGAAGACTTTGCCACCCATGTAATATTTGCTTCTACTTTCTGCCACACTGTCCAGTAAAACAACCTAGTTTCCCTGAGCAAAATTTGTTCTGCACAAAACCTTCTAAGGAGCATGAAAAACACACAGATTTACAGTGTTTGTTCAATATCCAAGGCGTGGGTTTCTTTATATAAGCCATTTTCTGCGGAGTTTATCAAATGTCTATATACCGCACGCAAGTCCAAAAGAAAAAACAATTTGCACAACCAAACAGGAATGACTGAAAGCAGACGCTTTAAAGCGCTTTAAAGCGTTTTCAGGTCTAAGGTTCAAGATCTAGAGTCCTGGAAGCCTTGAATCTTGAATCATAGATCCAAAAGTCGCACTCAAATGCGCAAATGAGGGCACAGCTAAATGCTCAAATCTGGGCTGCCTGAAAAGGAATGAAAATCACACAAAGGCGCTGCAAACCCGCCTGTAGCGCAAATGGGGCTCAAAGGATACTGATATATGCGGATGCTGATCGCTCTTTTCTATGTTTGCGCAGAACTTCCCTTCCTCCTCGATGAGGGCCACGTCTTCAGGAAGGTCTTCCATTCCTCCTCCTGGTCCGTTGTGCTCAACTCCAAGCCCTCGGAGAGCTGAGTTTTTTTTTGCTCCTCCAAGTTCATGTCCGGCTCCTCCAAGACAACCGTCTCCTCGTCCTCTTCGCGCTCGCTAGTGCGAGAAAATGGCTTTCGAGGACGGGGCTTGACCGCGTGCTTCTTCGGCTGCGGCTCAAGGATAGTCATCTTGTTTCGCGAGGGAGACTTGGAATCCTGACGGGTGTTTCAAGGACTGGCTTCTGCGGAGGCACCTCGACATCCGACTCATCTTGTGGGACTTCGTTGCATCTCCTGTTGGAGACCTCCCTAAAAATAGCGTCCTTCTTGAGCGTCTCAGAGCTCGTCTTGAGGGCCTTGGACACGGCGTCGTCGAATGTGCTTGCGGCATGAAGAGTCACTGCCTGGATCCACTTTGCTTTCATGCCCTCGTGATGAGTACGATGCAAAGCTGTGTCTTGGAGACATCTGAGCTGCTGTAGAACGGGCCCGCAGATGCGCAAGACCAAGGTCAGGAGTCGCACAACGATGAGGCAACAGAGCTTGCGGCGCATAACTCTCAGCATGGCGCTGCAGAAGAAGACGCAGGCCAGGCTTGTTTCTGGTGCGCTCGTGCTTTGTTGGTTAGGCCGCTGACGCTGGCGGGCTTTTCGACGCGTCAGAGTTACTGTCTCGCATTGCTTTTCTTGCGTGTGCATTCATTAGCGTCCTGGCATAGGTCTCACACGCACTCGAGTAGCGCTCTATGTCTGATCTCAGTCAAAATCAAGATTGTGTCACGCTTCCTGAAGGGAGAGGTGCCGCTGGACAAAGTGCAACCTCCACGATTGGAGGAGGTTATGCAAGTTCGTCTTGATGGTGGGGCGCAGGATGTAAGTGCGCGGCATGGACGAGGAGCTCGCTACGGGCTTCCTCACTCATCTTTCTCACGCCACCGAGCCGTTGTGATGTCCCACTCTACGATCTTTCGATCGCCGTCGGGCTGGAACTGCAGCAGGAAGCGACCCTAGCTGGAGAACCGACTGACTGCCGCAAACCATTGAGCATTTCCATCGCAGTGCTTCCGGGAGTCTCGATGGTCAAGGGTGTAGTCAAGCGTCACCATCCCATTGTCGTAGCGCTCAGGCTCGGTGTTGCGGCGGAGGGAAGGAAACCTTGTTTACAATACACTTTAAACGCAACTAAATTCTAATTGAAAGCGTATTAGGATAAGATCCCGTCACACATCCAAACTAGCAATTAAACTCAAGCTTCTCGTTAACTTCTAAGTGGAATCCTGTTTGGTCAGGCAGTGCTGGCTGAAATCTCATTCAAGAAGAACAAGTGAAGTCTGATCGAAGCAAGCTGCCCCAGCCCGCCAAGCGCACCAGGAAGGCCTACGCGTGCACCAAGAGCTGACAGACAGCTAACGCATTGCAATTGGCAAGCTAGTTTAAGAGACTACGGCGGCTTTGCGTCAAAACAGCGCATTGCAGTCCTGAATCCATTGCATCTGTTCCCTGTCACTCTTCGTTATCACGACAAGCACAAGAAAGCGCAACTATGCGCAACTTGTTTGTGAGAATAGTGCATCGCTTCTCCTCTACCCGTTGCGCTTGCTGACTTTCACTCTTTGCCATCGCTGCAAATACAAGGAAGTGTAACTTGTAGAGAAGCAATGTCAAAAAGCATGCAAAAACATGAAAAACAATGCTGCAAGAACCCCAATCCCCGTGAGCCGCCCTCTCTACATAGATAGATAAATATGTATATCTAATGTGCGTGTTCCTTCGTTCACGTACCGTGGGTATCTCGCTTGTGGGAACCTGTCCGGTCACAGACTCTCGCACTTCCTAGGACGACAAGGCAAAGGCAGAGTTGGCCTCGTTGCCTGACGACGAGGTGGGAGTGGCTTGTGAGACAGGCAAGCCTGGATGTTGAGCCTGCATTTGCTACAAGGGTGAGGCACTTGGGTGGCAGAATCACTGCCGCGTGCGAGCCTGCTTGTGCATGCGTGCGAAGCGCCTGAAAGGGGGTTCCGGAAGCGGGGAATTTGATGCAACTTGGCGCTTTGCAGTCTCGCGGCTTCCGCATGCTGCGTTTTGGAGTGAAGTGTTCCGCATGCGTGCGTGCCTGTTTTCCGCTGTCCGCCGCTGCTTTTCATCCTGCTGCTAGCTCTGTTTGCATGCCTCTTTGTGTATTTACGTTTGTTTGCGTCTGTGCGTTCGTGACACGCGGCGTGGCTAACGGCATGTGAGCATCGTTGTCCCCTCATGAGTCATTTGCAGCCCATTGCAGGCAGCGCAATTGGTGACGTCAATGCGCAGTGCCTTGGCGCGGCTGCATTTTCGCCATTTGTCATGAGGACTAAGGCATCTCAAGTGTGCCTTGTTAAAAGCCCCTGATCATGAAAATCCAGGATGCCAAGCTTCCTTGCAATGCTTACCATGAACAGGCAGGACACAAACGGTTTGTTCAACACGCTACAGGGTTCCGTTCAAGACTGCCGCTGTATGTGCTTGGTGGTTGGTGTTATTGTGTTGCCTTGCCCTTCAAGACGCACCTGGATATGCAGAGCTCAGAATGCAAGTGATGAGCATGGTTCTGACCGTCCTAGGCAACAACTCAATCAGAACCCCGACTGCCTGGCTGGTGACAGTTCTGGCCTCATTGAGCGTCGGCCAGAGGACCAAACACCGCTGCAAGTTGCCGATGCACTGCGCCTTTCCTCACTACAAGTGCAAAGCCTGGAGTTTCGTGCCAACTGATTCTTCATGATTTCCAAAGTTGTCAACTGGCTTTTCAGCTGGGACATTTTGCGAAACCTGAGAGATGTCATCAATAAATGCCAATATGCGTGTGTTCACCAGATTGCTGGAGGCCATTCGCAAAGTCAAGGTGGGTCGGGCTGTTGCAGGGGGCCGCATCATCAGCCATTGCTAGCCCTTTCCATCATGTTCAACCTTTACGAGAATCATAGATGTGTTTGGTACTGTGATATGTCACACACTAGGACGTAGGAGCTGGGGCCGCGCTATCAAGACGATGAAAGGGTACATGAATCAAGTTGCAGGCGAAGCTGGAGACGTCTACCGAGGAGGAGTCTGCAAAAGCTGAAGAGGTGTCGGGCTTGGAGTTTGGAAAAAAGGCATGCGCAAAGGTGCGGGCCTGTCAGCACGGCTAATTCTAGCTGTACCTGTTTGATGCCGTCAGGACGGCCAAAGAGAAGAGTCGACCTCAAGGGTGCAAGAGGCAGGGTTGACGCTGAGCTGGCAGGGAAAGGCACCTCGCTTCCAGCGCCCTGCCAAGTATTTTGCGGGACGTGGCAGGGGCACGCGTGTCACAATTGTTGTTCCATTGTTAAGCAGAACGTGAAGTGCCAAGGCATGCGCGCATCCAAGCGGCATTCTTTGGTGGCTTCTTAAATTGGACTGATTGCCAAAGGAAGCATTCTGCTATCATACTGCCTCTCGTTGCTGTGCTGATGACCGATGGGAAGGATCGTTTGCCTTTGACTTCGCCACATAAGCTGGCGGATGGACCATGACGACGAGACTTGCAAGATTCGCCGCAGCGCTTGAAGCAGCCCCACGCGTAGGATGCCAAAATGAACGGTTTGCTGCGGAGCCTGGATGACATAGCTGTCATCCGAAACAGTTTTAGTTTTTAGGCGTCAGACCTAAGATGGACGATCTGGAAGCTGGCGCTGGTGGATTCATTGTTTCATTTAGCAGCCCGTTATTTTGGTTGATGGCTGGGACTTGGAAACAAGGGCACCGCAGATGCACATAGTTACATATATTTGGCTGTCTTTTTTGAGTGATGGCCTGTGGTCAGAGTGGCATGGAAAGTGGACAGCAGTTATCAGCTGAATTGTTGCCATAGCAAGGGGGGGCGGTGCAAGCTCACAAGTTATGCAGTTATGCATGTATACGTGTGCTGCAACCGCGGAGAGGGCCGTCTTAGTTTGCGGTTTTTATTGGTAGAGGACTTCAGCATGCCGCCCAGGAGGACAATGTCAAGGCGGAGGTAATCCTCTTGCCTGACGATCAGGTGTGGGTTGCAGTCCGTGAGCAAGAGTTTTGTGCTTCTCTCGGGTTGTTTTTTTCCCCGCATCTTTGTGATTCTTTGTGTGGATTCTTAATTTTTCTGCTCGTCATCCGCGCGCCGTGTGCGTCCGCCTCTCCTCCTGCCTGCCTCCTCCCGCTTACTGCCTCCTTCCCTTCCCTTCCCTTCCCTTCCCTTCCCTTCCCTTCCCTTCCCTTCCCTTCCCTTCCCTTCCCTCCCTCACACTCATCCACTCACTCACCCACTCACTCAGTCGCTCGCTTGCTTGCTCGCTCACTCACTCCCAAGCGACTCATGATGTCGTGGCCGGGCAGCGATTGAAAAGACCCAAACAAATTGGATCTTCTCGCGTGTGCTGGCTCAGGCTTCTGTTTTCGTGGCAGGGGCACCATTTTGGACATGCGACTGCAGATTTCGTAGGCGCAGCACTTTGGATATGCCAGTGCTGCAGTTCGTGTCAGGGGAGGTCTCTCGAGGGACTGGATGTGGTCGCACACGCTGGCTGAGGCCCCCTGTTTTCGTGGAAGGGGCAGCTTTTTGGACATGTGATTGCAGATGTCGCGGCAGGCACAGCTTTTCATGGCAGTGGCAGAGTTTGAGGTCTCTAGATTAAATGGATGTTGTGCCGAGTGTTGTCGTGGTAGGGCAGCAGATTCCTTGCAGGCGCAGCGTTGGCATGTGACTGCAGATGTCGTAACAGGCGCAGCACTTTGGATCTGCGACAGCTGGATTTCGTGGCAGGGGCAGCGTTTGAGCGACTAAGGGCGTTTGTGTTTTCGTGTTAGTAGGGGCAGCGTTTTGGACACGTGAGTGCAGATTTCTCGCAGGCGTAAACCTCGCCGCTGATACTCCACTCATTACTTTGTTGTTCCTTCTTGCTTTCTTTTTTCTCAAGTAGCCTTTCTCCCATGAGCCTTGATCAAATTTGACTAGGGCAGGACTACGGGCAACCGCTGAATGCCAGCGCTTCAGTTCACTTCAGGTGTTTGTTGTCAATACAAGTGAAGAGTGCTGAGCACGAGGCTTCAAACAACAGCCTGGAAGCCATTTGTGGCGAAACTAATGATGTGAAAGAAGATGCGAATTCACATTCACAGAGGCAAGACCAGAGACACGTGCCTGACCAGCATTCCATCAATTTTGCAGCGTGTTGCAAACTAGGGCAAGCTCTGCCCTCAACCCAAATGATATGACAGGCCTCCAAAGGTGCTCAGATTCCGATCCACTTTGCTCTTGTAGGAAGACATGCCCCGCAGGCAGGTTCCTCCTTACATAAAAGGGCACTTTCTTTAAAACATACACCAGCATAGACCCCAGATAGCACACCACGGCTACGAACCATGCACTACATCCTTTTGGTTCCCGCGGCATCATGATCATATTGACAGGATCTAAATGATGTTGACAGCATCATGAGGATAGCACAGCTACTTAGCATAGTGTGCGAAATAGACGCGCAGACACCGTCCTAGTGAGTTCAGCAGCAAAACGATGATGTTGACAGGATGACACACCAGCCACGATTCCACGCTGATGCGGACAGCATCATGATGACGCTTGAGCGTCACCATGATGCGGACAGCCACGAATCATTTTGCGACAGTGTAATGAAATTCAGCATCATCCTGATGTTGACAGCATTATGCCGCCGCCACACCCACGAACCACAACGCTTCGCAGCGATTGCAGCAGCATCGTGACGTGGTTGACAACATCATGATGATACACCAGCCACGAACCATTTCGCGCGACAGTTAGAGCAGCAACAACGTCCGAATCGGTTTAACAGCATCATGATGCTGCGGACAGCATCATGATGCTGCGGCCAGCATCATGATGATGCGACAACCACGATACCCCAAACAGCACCCGCCCTAGCACCCTGCCTATGCGCCCGCACCGTCACCAACACCCCAAAACAGCAGCCACAACAGCACCCCAACGCAGCACCAGCACCGGTCACGTCCCAATCTCGCAAAGCGGCACCTCGACCGACACTCAAAATTGCATGCCCCCTAGCACCCGGCCGTCAAGCTCGCAAAACAGCACCACCAGCACCCCAAACTGCTTCCCCCCCAGCACCCGCCCTCAATCTCGCAAATCACTTTCCCTTCTTATTAGGAGTTTGAACCCCTCTAGCTTTCAGCTATGTGGGGAAGAAAGTCTTTCATGTTGAAAGGGGGGCCCTTTGCTTCAGCCTCACAGCCGAGCGATAGACGCAAGTTCGCAAGCCAACGAAGGCGATACCTCCAACACATCCCATGAGACTGAAAGTGTGGCGTGCGCCCATGGCACGCGCTGGGTTGAGGCTCAGCTTCAACACCCAGATGAAAAGACAGAGGCACTGATCGGAAAGCAAGACCTGGATGAGACCGTCAAGGCCAGTCGATTGACTCAGATTTGCTGTCTAATCTAGCATGTCGTGCTGTGGGATGGCAGAGTCTGTTGGTTTCAGCTGGTCAAACGCATCGACCGTCCTCCCAATAACATGACACCTGACATGCAAGGCCCCTTCAAGAAGACATGGACCTTCCAGGGAACGCTCCCGCAGGTGCTATTTTAGTGGGAGGAAGTGCATTGAGCCATCAGGACAGGTTGAGGAGGATTACAGCTTGGGATGCGCGGCCCTCAGGGCCTCAAAATGACATAGGCACCGGATGAGGAGCTCGTGAGATCCAGACTTACTTGTCCAGTTTCAAAAAGAAACGCATTGGTGCCATCTCAAAGTTGCAAGAGATCTAAGTCTGGCTTGTTGGAGAAATGGTCAAGCGTCGGTTGCCAAACCGTCATGAGTCGTGCATGCTTTCACCAAACACGCCTGGTTTGTTTTGCATGTGTTGGGCTCCAGGCTGGGTGTTTAGGCTGGTTATGGCCCTGAGCCAGTTCTGTCTTCCTTGCTCAATGCAAGAAGCAATGCCCAAGCAATGCTTCAAAGGCTTTTTCGTACCCACCTGCGCAGCAATGCCAGCATGACCAGAAGAGTTGGAAACGTGGAACAAAGATGGGACTGCATGGAACCTGGAAACGGAAAGAAGGGGGCCCTCAAAACGGATAGTCCACACAAATTCGCGGTTTGGATCTCGTTTTGGTTCAGTCACCCTCGCATGAGCTTCTGCACGAAGGCCACCCAGCTCATCAACAAAGTCCAGGGCCCGCCCGTGGTCGGGAAGAAATTGGGATGGGTATGTCCAGTTTGACGTACCTTATGTTAGTGTGAATCATTCTTGGCAGCGACCTTCCGTGTCCCAAACATATTGGCAAATCGCTTTGGCTTCAGCGTTTGGAAGTGTAAGTTTGATTGATTCGGTCCTATGGCAAAGTTTTGGCTGGTGATTGATGTGCTTTGCTTGTTCTGGGGCTTGAGTTTTGGCGGCAACTTGCCACGGCAAAAAGGATTGTTGGCTTGCTTGGCTTCAAGCACCCTTGGCCCGAACTCCTAGCACATAGTCTTTCGAAAAGGTCTTGTCGGCTTGAATGACTGTCAGGGTGTTGGGGGAAGTACGCAGTGATGACTTTGGTGGCTTCGATGGTCCACCGGCCAGGGAATGCTTCAGTCAAGAACCCTTCCGGCTGGGTGATGTCAGCGGGAGCCTCGGCTGGCGTGTTTGTCGCCTTCGCACCTTGCAAGTGCAAGGCCACATCGCCAAACAGGCTTGCAAGCATTGAGATGTTTCAGGCTGACCCACGGTGACATATTTCAAGGCCAGGCAACATAGCAGACGAGAAGGGGCTAGAGATGCATTTGCAACAGGCAAAGTGTCTCATGTGCCAAAATGAGGTGCAGCAAATCCAATGAACCCGGTAAATTGTCAAATCACCAACACAGTGCAGTGCAAGGAGTGGTCATCTGCACAGTTTGGGGTTTCGGGATTGAATCACATTTCGCGATTACATCACATTTTCGGGATTCGGGACTGGGAAGGTTTGGGGCCTGGCTCCGGCTTTTGGGATTCGTCACTAGGAAGGCCCCAGCCTTTGGTCCGGCTGCAAGAGTGCTTCAAACAGTAGTGCTCGCTGAATTCAAAGACAGAGGAGAGAGGGGCGCAGGCTTTAGGCAACACGCTCAGAATGTGGTAGCAGTGACCCTTAAGAGCTGTGCTCGCCTTTCAAGAAGTGCCATGTTGGACGTGAGGCGATCAGCAAGATGAAGGAGATTCGCGATGTGTACACCGCGCGCTGTCGCTGCAGAGCAGCCATTTGAATTTGTCGGGCTAGCGGGGCTTGGGTTGTTGGTGGTCGTTGTTGTTCGCAGCAAGGGGTTCTTGAGAAGGGCATGCAACAGCAGTGCGTAGGCCCTTGGGCGAGGCCGTCTCCATTTTGATGGCTTTCCGAGTGCCAGCTTATTTTCAGTCGGCATGATGATAATAGGATAGACTTTGATCATCGCATGAGAAACAGCAGGGCCGGTTGAATTCTTGGTGGTGTGGCGCAGGCCAGCAGGTTTTCAATTTCGGGATGCTAAGAAGGGGTGATCGGCATGTCCCTTTAAGATAGGCAACACCGGTCGGTCGATATCACTCCTCCCTTTGCTTTGGAGGAGAACAACGAACTCATTTCTTCGCAGATGAGTAGCTTGCTGCTGGGCCTGGAAGATATTGCCGCTTTCTCAGTTGAAAAGCAACGCAGCAGCGCTCAGAGTCCCGAGAGCTTGCCCACCGGTAGGGCAAGCTTGCAGCTCCGTTGCTTGTATATGTAGTGACCCATGAGTGCATGTACGCGAAACGTGTATATATATATATATGTAATATACACTATGTCCTCATTTGCGTGTATATATATATATATACCAAATATATATATATATATATATATATATGCTACCCCGCGCACCAGCAAGGCCTACGCGTGCACAAAGAAGTGACAGCTGATGTATTGCAGTTGACTCTATGGCGGCTGTATCACTACAAATTCAAGAAGTGAGAGTAGTGCATCGCTTCTCCTCTACCCATTGCACCTGCTGACTTTCACTCTTTGCCATCGCTACAAACAGGAAGCGTAACTTGCAGAGATGCAAACACATGAAAAAGCAATGCCAGAACCCATCCCCCAGGAGCCGCCTCTATATCTATATATAATTATATATATATAGATATGTATATCTAATGTGCATTTGCCTTTGTTCACGTGCCGTGAGTATCTCACTCGCGGGAACCTGTACGCTCACAGACTCTGGCACTTCCTAGGGCGACAGGGCGAAGGCAGAGTTGGCCTCATTGCCTGACGACGAGGTGGGCGTGGCTTGTGAGACAGGCAAACCTGGATGTTGAGCCCACATCTGCTACAAAGATCAGTACGCACTGCCGCGTGCGACGTGCGCCTCAAAAAAAACTGAGCTAGGGTTCCGGAAGCAGTGAATTTGATGGAACTTGGCGCCTTGCAGTCTGGCGGCTTACGCATGCTGCGTTTTGGAGCTTGATGCTCAAGATGGAATTTGCAGATTGATTGTGCTTGCATCCAGGTGAGCGCCGAGCCGTGCTCAACTGTGCCGCATGCGTGCGTGCCTGCTTGTTTGCATGCCCACTTCTGTTTTCCGCTGCCGCCTCTACTTCTCCTTCTGCTGCTAGCTTTGTTTGCGTGCCTCTTTGTGCATTTACGTTTGTTTGCGTTTGTGTGTTCGTGACACGCGGCGTGGCTAACTGCTGGTGAGCATCGTTGTCCCCTTTAAGAGTCATTTTCCAGGGGCATTTTTTAGGATTTTTTGTTTCGCTTTTGGCTTCTTGGCTTTTCGGCTTCTTGTTGGTTTATGCGGCTTTTGGTGGCTTTGGCTTTGTGCATCCTCTGCTTTCCCAGTTCCTCTCCTTTTCATTGAGATTCAATTGCATTCCCATTCGGATCACCACTTCTGCGAACATCATGCCGGGGAGCTGCCACCCCCCCGACCCCCCCATCTTTTTTTACAGGGGCTGCAATGCCCTCTTATTTTGGATCTGTGATTAGCCATGGTTTAGATCATCGCCAGGGATGATAGTGACTGACCGGTGGTGTTTGGCTCAAGTTTGCGGGTCCGTCGCGCCTCGGATGAGCGTCGCCGGGTCCCCGCGTCGATCACCTTCGTGTCGGTGGAGAAAGAGACATCGGCCCGGGGCAGATTGGTGGGGTCCGCCCGTGCGGTTCATCGTCGATCAAGGTTGCGGGTATTTGCGTTCTTGCTTTGGTTTATTTCCCTTTTGGTTGTTGTTCTCTGGTGTGTGGGAAACCCTGATCTTTGGGACCGGGGATTGGTTTGCTTTTGGGGAACCTTTCGCTTGTTTACTCCAACTAACCCTTCGCCTGGGCACAGGCTCGTGCCCGAATCACAGGTTATCAGCCGTAGGGCTTTCCTACGCGCTTGAGACCATCAACTACAAGCTCAATGACGTCGACCCCACGTTCACATAGGAGTGTCGTGGATGAGGAGGCCATCTTAGGTGGCCTCCGCTCAGGTGAGGACTTGCCGGACTACGACTACGAGGACTTCGAAGCAGGTTCAGCAGGTCAGGACCGTAGGGGTGATGATCCCGATAGGGACACACCCAGAAGCTGCGGCGAACTCCCATGCAGCTCGTGCACGTCGGGATACGGAAGTTTCCCGCACGCCCTCCCGGAGGTCCGTTAGGACGCTGGGGACCGGGGATTCCAGGGAGTCGAGAAGGCGCAGGTGTCGACCGCGGAGAGAAGAGGATCGAGAACGAAAGAGACATGGGCCCGGGGCAGATTGGTGGGGTCCGCCCGTGCGGTTCATCGTCGATCAAGGTTGCGGGTATTTGCATTCTTGCTTTGGTTTATTTCCCTTTTGGTTGTTGTCTCTGGTGTGTGGGAAACCCTGATCTTTGGGACCGGGGATTGGTTTGCTTTTGGGGAACCTTTCGCTTGTTTACTCCAACTAACCCTTCGCCTGGGCACAGGCTCGTGCCCGAATCACAGGTTATCAGCCGTAGGGCTTTCCTACGCGCTTGAGACCATCAACTACAAGCTCAATGACGTCGACCCCACGTTCACATAGGAGTGTCGTGGATGAGGAGGCCATCTTAGGTGGCCTCCGCTCAGGTGAGGACTTGCCGGACTACGACTACGAGGACTTCGAAGCAGGTTCAGCAGGTCAGGACCGTAGGGGTGATGATCCCGATAGGGACACACCCAGAAGCTGCGGCGAACTCCCATGCAGCTCGTGCACGTCGGGATACGGAAGTTTCCCGCACGCCCTCCCGGAGGTCCGTTAGGACGCTGGGGACCGGGGATTCCAGGGAGTCGAGAAGGCGCAGGTATCGACCGCGGAGAGAAGAGGATCGAGAACGAAAGAGACATGGGCCCGGGGCAGATTGGTGGGGTCCGCCCGTGCGGTTCATCGTCGATCAAGGTTGCGGGTATTTGCATTCTTGCTTTGGTTTATTTCCCTTTTGGTTGTTGTCTCTGGTGTGTGGGAAACCCTGATCTTTGGGACCGGGGATTGGTTTGCTTTTGGGGAACCTTTCGCTCCCTTCGCCTGGGCACAGGCTCGTGCCCGAATCACAGGATCATCATTTTTTGACCCCGTCAACCCGCCAGCCACTTGCTAGATTTTGCTTCCCACGATTTGTTGGTGCTGCTGGGGGTGTTGGTCGGACATGCGGGGGATGTTGAGAACGATGCTGGGGATGTTGACGGGCTCGTGCACAATTCGCAAATTTCGCGAGAAAATGCTGTAAAATACAACATTTATTGGCCCGGACAAAACCGAACAAAGTCAGAAAAATAACGAAAAACAATCCCGAAGTAAATCCGTACCCTTTTCCATGTGTTCGCCACCCATGGTGTTGAAGTCCGGCAGCCCATCGCAGGCAGCGCAATTGGTGACGTCAATGCGCAGTGCCTTGGCGCAGTTGGCGCAGCTGCATTTCCGCCATTTGTCATTGGGGCGTTTGTTCAGAGAACAAAGGCATCTCAAGTGTGCCTTGTTAACAGCCCCTGATCATGAAAATCCAGGATGCCAAGCTTCCTTGCAATGCTTACCATGAACAGGCAGGACACAAACGGTTTTTCAACACGCCACAGGGTTCCGTTCAAGACTGCCACTGCATGTGCTTGGTAGTTGGTGTTGTTGTGTTGCCTTGCCCTTCAAGACGTACCTGGATATGCAGAGCTCAAAATGCAAGTGAGTCACAATCAAAACCTGGGTAGATGAAGGTTAATAAGGGACAATCCCAGCCATAAATAGCTGCGGCCGCCTTCTTAATTCTTTACATGGTTTCTGGGTGGACCATTTTAGTACCAGGTTTTGATTGTGACTCAAGTGATGAGCATGGTTCTGACCGTGCTAGGCAACAACTCAATCAGAACCCCGTCTGCCTGGCTGGTGACAGTTCTGGCCTCATTGAGCGCCTGCAAGTTGCCGATGCACTGTGCCTACGAGTGGGAAGCTTGGAGTTTCGGGCCAACTGATTCTTCATGATTTTCCAGAATTGTCAACTGGCGTTTTCAGCTGGGACATTTTGAGAAACCTGAGAGATGTCATCAACAAATACCAATATGCGTGTATTCGCCAGACTGCTGGAGGCCATTCGCAAAGTCAAGGTGGGTCGGGCTGTTGCAGGGGGCCGCATCATCAGCCATTGCTAGCCCTTTCCATCATGTTCAACCTCCACGAGAATCATAGATGTGTTTGGTACTGTAGGAGCTGGGCCACGCCACAAAGAAGATTAAGGGGTACATGAATCCAAGTTGCAGGCGAAGCTGGAGACATCTGCCGCGGAGTCTGCAAAAGCTAAAGAGGTCTCGGGCTTGGAGTTTGGAAAAAAGAGGCATGCGCAATGCCGCAAAGGTGCAGGAGAGTGTGAGCACGGGTAAGTCATGAACCTGTTTCAGGACGGCCAAAGAGAAGAGCCGACCTCAAGGGTGCAAGAGGCAGGGTTGAGGCTGAGCTGAGATCACCGCAGGGAAAGGCATCTATGTCAATTATGTTCCATTGTTAAGCAGAACGTGAAGTGCCAAGGTGTGCGCGAGTCCAATCGGCATTCTTTGGTGGCTTCTAAATTGGACGGATTGCCAAAAGAAGCATTATGCTGTTGCCTGTTGTTGCTGCGCAGCACTTCGGCGTCGCCTTGCATAGACCGATGGAAAGGATCGTTTGCCTTTGACTTCGCCGCATGAGTTCGCGGATGGACCATGACGACGAGACTTGCAAGATCGGCCGCAGCGCTTGAAGCAGCCCCACGCATAGGATGCCAAAACGGACGCTTTGCTGCGGAGCCTGGATGACATAGCTGTAGCCTCAGTTGTCAAGCAGCGCGGTACAAGACTCGCCTCGTTACCGAGCTACTCTTAGGATCTTTTGCGGGAACACCCGAAACAGTTTGAGGTTTTAGGAGTCAGACCTAATATCGATGACCTACTTATTTGTTTTTTCAATTGACTGCCTTGAAGTCCATCATTTTGGCTGATGGCTGAGGCTGTTGAAAACAAGAACACGGCAGATGCACATGGTTACATAACCTTTGCTTGTTTTTGGAGTGATGCCTGCGTAGTCAGAATGGCATGGAAGGTGGAAAGCAGTTATCAACTGCGTTGAAGCCATAGCAACGGGGGGCGGCGCAAGCTGACATGTTATGCAGTTACGCATGTATACGTGTGCCGCATTTCGGGTTGCGCCGGCTTAGGTTGCGGTTTTTGTTGTGGTAGAGGACTTTAGCATGCCGCCCAGGAGGACAATGTCAAGGCGGAGTTAATCCTTTTGCCTGACGATCAGGTGTGGGTTGCCGTTCGTGAGCAAGGAGTTGCGCGTTTCTCGCGAGTTGCCTTTGTCCCCACATCTTTGTGCGGGTTCTTACTTTTGCCGCTCGTCGTCCGCGCGCCACGTACGCTGGCTCACTCTCTCCCTCACTCCCTCACTCACTCCCTCGCTCAGTCACTCACTACTCCACTCCCCTCCCCTCCCCTCCACTCCACCTTTCGTGGCAGGGGCAGCTTTTGACATGTGAGCTCAGATTTCGTGGCAACTGGATATTCTCGCGTGAGCCTTCTGAGGGTCTCTGTTTTCGTGGCCGGGCGGCATTTGGGCAAGTTTCTGGATATGCGAGAGTTTCGTGGCAGAGGCAGCAGTTGAGAGGTCTCTAGAGGGACTGGATGCTGTCGCCCGTGCTCACACTCACAGTCACACTCACTTTCACTGTCACTCACTCGCTCACTCACTCGCTCACTCACTCACTCAGGACTCACTAGGGACTCACTAGGGATTGCTGGGCTGGGTTTTGTGAGGGCAGCATTTGTGGATGTTGGGCAGCATTTTGGACATTTCGTAGCAGGCACAGCGCATTGGATATGCGGCCGCTGGATTTCGCGGCAGGGGCAGCATTCGAAAGGTGTTTAGAGGGACTGGATGTTCCCCTTGTTTTCGTAGCAGGGGCTGAGTGCAGATTTCGCGGCGACTTTTGGATTTCGTGGCGGGAGCAGCACTTATTTGAGAGGTTTTCAGAGGGGCTAGACGTTGTCACGCGCTGGCTGGCTTTTGTTTTCGTTGCAGGGGCACGGTTTTAAACACGTGACTGCAGATTTCGCGGCAGGCGCCGCGCTTTGGGTATGCGACTGGAAATGGAAGATGTTTTCGCGCGCGCTGGCTGGGCAACCCGTTTTCGGGCGGCAGGTTTTGTGGCAGGCGCAGCAGCTGGATTTTGTTTCAGGGGCAGCGTTTGAGGTCTCCAGAGGCACTGAATGTTGTCGTGCGCGAGCGCCGGCTGAGGGCGTCTGTTTTCGTGGTAGGGGCAGCGTGTTGTACACGTGATTGCAGATTTCGTGGCAGGGGCATTCGTGGCAGGGGCAGCGTTTGAGATGTCGCCTTCGTGGCGGGTGCAGCGCTTTGGATACGCGACTGCTGGATTTCGTGGCAGGGGCAGTATGGTCTTTGTTGTCGCACGCGCTGGCTGAGGGCCAGCGTTTTGAACGTGTGACTGCTGGATTTTGTGGCAGGGGCACGTGCCTGGCATGGATTGTGATAAAGCTTGACTAACATCTCTCAGCGCGCCCAGGAAGCTGCAGCGGCTGATAATTTCACACGCGTTTGCTTTGATCAGTAGGGATTAAACTTTGAAAACGACAAGCAAAAACTCGCCGCTGATACCTCACTCATTACTTCGCTTTTGGGGTTATCCGGTCCGTTAGTTTGATTAGAGCAGGATTAGGGGCAACTGCTGAATGCCAGCATTTGTTCGTGCACGTGAGTCAATCCCGTGTGGTTTTCCAACAGCAGCCTGGGAGCCAGTTGAAGAAATTAACGATGTGAAAGAAGATACGAAAACACATTCAACGAGTCAAGGCCAAATGCACGTGCCTGACAAGAATTCCGTCCTTCTTGCAGCATATTGCAAACTAGGGCAAGCTCCGCCTCTTGTAGGAAGACATGCTCCACAGGCGTGACACGGGTTCCTCCTTAAATAAAAGGGTTCGTGTTCAAACATTTTGAGTTTCACATTGAAGGTGCTTCAGCGATAGACGCAAGTTTGCAAGCCTGAGCAAAGGCGACACCTCCAACGCACCCAATGAGACTGGAAGTGCTTTGACAAGTGTCTGATTCATCTTCAATCTTTGCAGGGACGCCCTCAAATGTCGCGTCGGTGCTACCGGCGATCACCCAACCGATTACCGGAACTGATGGCCAGAACGGCACATGATGACAAAAAAACGAGCGAGCTACAACGGAGGGACACAAGAAAGATCAAAGGGCAACGCTTAAGGTCATTGGCCGGTTGTATGTTTCCACGCCTTTCTTTCACTGAGTATTGCTACTGGCGCAGGTAGGTAATCAGGCTCAGGATTTGCGAGTGGCCCGTGCGGCGATCCAGCAAGCCCAACCTTCCATATTGCAAGGCATGAAAGGAAGTTTGCTGCCCGTGCCTTTCAGGCAGCGCAGTTGGTGAGACAAATGCGCAGCACCTTGGCGCAAGAGCCGACATTTGGCCATGTGTGAACAAGACCAATTGATACTTGTCAAAGTGGCTTGGGTGCCTTGGACGCTTGGTGTTGGGTTGCGATTGACATGCAACAGGCTTACCACGTTGCCAGGCCAACGGAGCACCGGGAGTCAGTTTAGCGCCCAGGCAACAGTCAGAGCATCAAAGACCGGAATGCCTGGCTGACGGGGGTGCCGGCCTTTAGGTGAGAGTCCATTCGAGAGAGAGAGAGAGAGAGTCCACGATGCACGACCTGCCAAAGATGCAACGCGCACATGCCGGAGAGAGCAAGCTCGTCATGGCAAGACACCCTTGTTTGCTGACTCTTGGTGAAACAGCCCGACGATGCCTGTCATCCAGTTGCTGCCCGTGTGATATTCGGCCCAGGCCATTCGCACCAAAGCCCAGGCCATTCGCACCAAAACCAAGGTGGGCAGCTGCGAGGGCGAAGTCATTTGCAGCCCTTTGCTAATTGCCACTTGGATCACAATGCATATTAAGACGGTTAAGACGCATGAAAAGTCCAAGGGGGCAGTCTGATGTGACATCAGGGCGCTTGCTTTTGGGCCCGGATGCAGCGAATGATCTCGAAAGTCAGAGGGAGAGAATCCTCGGCGCTCCGCCAGGCCAACGGCAAAGCGGCGCTCAAGAGGTCCGGAAAAAGGCGAGCTGAAAACCTAGGCCCATCTTGTTGGGCATGGCTTTGAGTGACCAAGCCTGATCCTGTTCCTCGGTTGCGTGATCAATGAGAGGATTTTGCACCACCCTGCCGCTCCATGTGGCTCGAGGCTTTGAGGGCACCGGAGGCTAAAATACACTCGACCAGATCAGAGCTTTTCTGTTTGTTCGCGACTCTCTGGAGGGCAACAAGAAATGGGTATGGGTCAAACTTAATCCACCAAGGGACCGCAGGTTTTAGTCCATGTTTCCAGTTACCAGGGTTCCATTTTAGGTACCGATTTTTGACACACTCCCAAGTCAGGTTTGTGTAAGCCACCAGTCGACTGATGGGCCTCCGTGGTGCTATGGCGGCAGCAGCTGTGCTGAGTGCCCCAGGCATGCCGCAGCGCATCAGGACTGGGGGGGGGGGGGAGAGAATGGGTAGCCAGCTGCCTAGTGCTGACAAGGAAGCTGAAGGGTCTTGAAGTCTTGGAAGCGGGTGCCCCGCTGCCAAAGTTTTATCTAATTACTCCTGTTGCAGCTTTGTGCATACACAAGCTCGAGTGTTGCTTCCTTGGAGTGAGCAATGTAAGCTCAAAGCTGCACGGAAAGAGCCCATGTTTGACTCAAAAGCACGACAAATTGTGGCTCAAGATACCTTGCAGTGAAGGTTTCCCTTCTGCCTTTAAATCCTGAAGCACAGCGTAAGCTGCGCTCTCCGATGGTGATGGTGCCTGAGATGGGTGTGAACCAGGTGATGTGCCCGCCTGGTCAGCAAGTCTACTTCCTTGTGCCGGCCCAGGGTTTCCCAAATGGTGCTGTCCCACATGCCGTGCCTATGGGCTATGCCATGCCTTGGGCAGCGCAGCCAAAGCTGTTGAGTTCCGCGCATCCCGCCGTGCAAAGCGTGCAGGGGCCCGCGGCTGCTAACACCTGCAATGTCCCCCAGCCATCCACGGATGCCCGGCCAGGAGCAATCCCCACCAAGCCAACGAGGCCCAGCACGGACTCGGAGAGTGAGACACCGGATGCAGCCATGCCTCTCACGGCCAGCGCGGCGCGGCGACAGAGGAGGAAGCGCGCTGTTGAGAGAGCCAAGGCTGCTCAAGCTGCCGAGGTCCAAGCCCAGGCCCGTGCAGTCGGCGGTGCTTTGCTGAGCATTGAGCAGCTCCGGGATGAGCTGCGAGAAGATCCTGCGGCAGTTGTCCAGCGCATGCGGGGCCGGGTGTGGGCATGCTCGCGAGATGCTGCGGGCTGCCGGCTGGTGCAAGATGTGCTGGAGCTGGGGACACGTGATGCCGCCGACCTTGCTAAGGAGCTACATGGGCACGTGCTCGAAGCAGCAATGTGCCCCTATGGCAACTACGTGGTGCAAAAGGTGGTGTCGCACCTCTCAACTGCATCCAGCAGGTTTGTGGCACAAGAGCTGGTGGGAAATGCCTCCCGTGTGGCCAAGCATCGGTTTGCGTGCCGAGCCCTGTGTCGTTTGCTGGAGTTCTGTACGGCAGACGCCACTACCTGCCTGGTTGATGAGCTGCTGCAAGACGTGTCGGGCCTTTGCAGCCACAGCTTCGCCCACCATGTAATGCAGTCCATCTTGGAGAATGGCAAGGACCAGCACAAGAAGCTAATTGCTGATGAGCTCCTGTCCGACCCCTTCCGCTACGCAACCGGCAAGAACTCTAGCTATTTGGTTGAGAAGGTCCTGTGCTATTGCCAGCCTGTTGAGCAGGACGCCTTGCTAGTCAGGCTTGGGCAGCCAGAGCAGGTGCTGGAGCTGGCAAAGACGCAGTACGGCAGTTATGTGGCCCGCGCGTTGCTGCGCGACAACCGCGTGAACTCGCAGGAAGCCATGCGGCTGATCGCGATGAACCAGTCGGAGCTTTCCACAACTGAGGGTGGCCAGCATTTCCTCGTGGATATTGGCCTGCTGGACCCTTTGCAGGTTGAACCGAAACTGTGAGGTTGAGCTTTGCCCGTTGCGGCGTGATTTTGTGATGTCCAAGTATCCCGTTGCGGTGGAGGAATTTGCCGACAATCCACAATCCAGGTGCCTATAGATTCGGCACTCTTGTACAGAGGGGTTGGATGACGGCAGGCATGTCACGTGCCGGCCGGCAGTACTGAGGGGCACGTGATGTAGATTGCTTAAACAACAAGCTGGCGCAACTCTTGTACAGCCTTGGTGCCACTTGAAATCAATCGCTTGATGCAGCATGCACTGCGAAACAATATGGCGCAGACTCCCAACATTGGCTTCTGAGTTTTGCAGAAAGGGGATTTCACGCCTTGGCAAAAGCTATCAGGGACTGTTTAACATAACGTTTGAAGTGCGGGAGCACAAGATGTTGGCACTGGTTGCTTTGATGTTTATTCTTGCAACCTCAGAGTTGTTTTGAAGTTTTGCCGCATGGTTCCCGAGTTACAGCAGCGTTTCAATGCGAGCCTTTTTCGCGAAAGCAGCGCAAAGGGTTCTTCCTTTGGATCTCTTGCACTTGCCTTGCATAGAATGCTTGCGCAGAGAAAAATGCACAGAGAACTCGTCTCAAAGACCTGGCTCACAGAACTTGCACACAGGCAGAGAACCACTGAGAAACTTGCCGAGAGCAACTTGTGCAGAGAACTTGCCTTTTTAGAGTGTTCTCAGAGATTCTCAGAGTGCTTGCGCAGAGACATGGCATCAGAGAAACTTGCTCAAGAGAACTTGCTCAGAAAACTGGACCTTGCACTGCGAGAACCTTCTCAGAGTGCTTGCGCAAAGAAATTGCACGCAGAAACATGCCTAGAGAACTTGCCCAGGGAACTTCCACGGGGAACTTGCGGAGATGGCTAAGAGAAGCTTGAGGTCTACATCTTTCCAAGGAATTGGCTTCAGGCGGCGGAAGGACTGGCAACTTCTTGGTGGCCAGATGTCTTTTCAATTTGCCTCGCAGTGTCCGCCCCGGATCGGCGGGCCCTCGGGCTCGAATTCCCTGCAGCCCGGAGGCTGCACGAAAGTTGCAAGGCGAGCCTTCCAAGTTCTCTGCAATCGCCTGCAATTGAAAGTTGTTTTCTTGAGGTAATATAGATTCTTCCGCCCCAGAATTAGCTCCCCTTTGTTTTTTTGCTTTTTTGGGGTTCCCTTTGTTTTCCACTCACCAGGCAAAAACATATTTTTGTTTGCTGGGGTCCTAATTCCAGCCAAGGATTGTGGCCTTGTCTAGGCCGCGGAAGGGTTCGAGGAAGGGATTCATCATCTAGTCATTCGCGAAAGGTTCACATAGTCTCACTGCATGCATTCTAGAAAGCTTTTCCGGTTCCATGGTCCCTTGTCAACGTGGCAAACATACTTAACATAATGCAAAACATAGGCAACCTCCAATCCACAAAGCAGAGCCCACAACTGTTCCAGGCTCAGGCAATATTGCATGCTTATGTAGCATGGCTTTTGTAGTGGCAGCTGGTTCGCAAGTACCACAACAGACCCACACACACACACACACACACGCACGCACGCACGCACGCACGCGCGCATGCCAAAACGCACGCGGAAGCCGGGTGCCTTGCTCCAGCTCTGGCCCATCCGGCCCACGCCGCCCAAGCCCAAGCCATGATTCCAACTTACTGCCACGGGTCGGTGTGAGGTTGCTTGTCCTACAGCTTGTGCGGATTGCGGAAGACACAACCAAGCGTAAACACACGAAGAGACACTTCGACAACAAAAACTCAGTCCGCGCAAGCGTCGCGCAGGCGTCTGCTATGTAGACGCCACTCGCTGAAGCTCAGCCGCGGAAGCCCAGCGATTTTGTTAGCGTCCCTCGCCCGCGCAGTAATATAGAACACCGCCCAGATGGCGGTACAACATGTAGCGCAACCTTTACAGAAACTCGTAAAGAGAACTTGGGCAAAGCACCACTTCCACAGAGAACTTTCGGAGATGAACTTGAACAGAACTTGCGCAGAACTTGCGCGCAGAATGCATGGAACCTGCGGAGAATTGGCTCAGAGAACTTGCGCGCAGAAACTTAAGCCTAGCTCCCGCAGAGAGCTCCCGCCGCAGAGAGCTCGCTTGGAGAAGTTTGCTCAGCGAACTCGCAGGGGGAAGTCAATGCAGAGAACGAGCAAAGGTACATAGAGAACCGCTGCAGGGCACAGAGACATTTCCAAGAGACTAGCTTGCACAGCGAACTTCTGGAGGTCTTGCGCAGGGAAACCCGCGCAGAGAATCTTTACAGAGAATGTGCGCAGAGAAGTCTGTGCACCTTGGACAGAGCAACTTGTGCAGGGAACTTGCTCAAAGAACTTGTGCAGAGAAACTTGCACGCAGGGTAACTTGCACAGAATCACTTGTGCAAAGACACTTGCGCAGAGACACTCCACTTGCGCAGAGGCACTTGCGCAGAGACACTTTCGCGGAGACATGCGCGCAGCGATGCTTGCACAGAGGCACTTGCACAGAGACTGCTTGCGCAGAGACACTTGTGCGGAGACACCAGGACAGAGACACCAGACTTGCTCAGGGAAACGTGCGCAGACACACTTGGCAGAGGCACTTGACACTTGCACAGCTATACTTGCACAGAAACACTTGCAGAGAGGCACTTGGCAGGCGGTTAGAAATGCTGTTTCCGCGACTCCGCAGGGGTGTTCGGGATTACTTTTTGGCTTTTGTTTGCTTAGTCTTTGTTTCAAGGCAGGCCGCGCGAGAATCAAACAAATCCACACTTTCAGCGGTAGCGTGGCGCTCGGATGCTGTGATTTGCCTGAAGCTTATTTTTCAATTTCTGCTTTGCTTTGACTCATTGATGCGGCGCCCTGGTTGCAGAATGGGGAAATGTCACCAGATTCGGCGCTAGCTCTGCGCTGCGCGTTTACCGTGCGCGCTTGGGCCCATGGGAAACTTGTGATGTGTCTTGAAACAAACGTTTTGTTAGCAGATTCTTTAAAGCGCCGCGTGGCGACGACCGTAGGTTCTTGAGAAGAAGCTGGCAACGTATCAGAGAGTCAGAGACAGCTTCCGTCCTTTAGGGCCAGGCATCGAA